TTGTCGTAAATAAGGCTTTTATTGTTTTGAGATACGTTCCGTCAATACCTAGTGTAATTGCGGGTTTTTAGATAAAACGTTGTTGAATTTTTGTCAAAAGCCTCTCTGCATCAATTGAGATAAACAGAGGAGGAGAAAAAGAGGGAAGGGAAATGTCCACCACCTGACGGTGATCTTGGGCAGAACCTACCGGGTGGTCCCTGGTGAGGAGGAGCAGAAATTTGAAGTAGAAAAATACATTGTCCATAAGGAATTCGATGATGACACTTACGACAATGACATTGGTAAGAGGTTGTCATTCCCGGCTCCGGTTCATACTCCAGATCACACAACACACCCGCGGGCACTCACCTGTGTTTGCACACACGGGCCTCCTCCTCCAGCCCCTGCCCCTCTTGTGTGTTCCTCATCTCCCACGGGGCCGCAGCCCTCACACCCAGCTCACTCTTCCTCTCTCCCTCCCAGCGCTGCTGCGGCTGAAGTCGGATTCGTCCCACTGTGCCCAGGAGAGCAACGTGGTCCGCACCGTGTGCCTCCCGGCGGCTGACCTGCAGCTGCCCGACTGGACGGAGTGTGAGCTGTCTGGCTATGGCAAGCATGAGGCCAGTAAGTGGGAGGAAGTCTCGGCCCCATCCTGTCTGTGGGACAGCAGGGGAGGCTGCGGCGGACCAGAGGAAAACGCGGTCAAGAGAGCGACGTTCCAGCCCCGGGTCAGGCACTGATGCCAGTCCCATCTCCCGGTGCCATGGGGGCCCGTCTCTGTTGTCCCTGCCTCCCCGGGACACTGCAGGCCAGGAAAGGGCATAACAGCACGAGGGCCTCGAAGTGCTGCAGGTGTTGGGAAGGTTCTGAGTAGGAAGTATGGTCACCAAGCATGTGAGTTCTGGGAAGCTGAAGTTGTATAGACGCGATTTCAAATCCCACTTGCTGAGCTGTGTGACCGTGGACGTGGATTTTTACTTGGAACTGCTCCCAGCCTCAGTTTCCTCATTGGAAAAGTGGAAACAGAACTAGCTCCCTAATTAGATGAGGAGTGTTAAATGACATAATACTGAATGAATGGTTGTCAGCCGGGGTGTCCCCCCCCCCCCCCGAGGAAACGTTTGGTGAGGTCTGGAGACGTTTTTGGTTGTTACAGCTCAGGCTGAGGGTTGACACCGGCCTTCGGTGAGTGCAGCCAGGGATGCAGGGCTGTGCCCTCCCCCACAACAGGGATCTGCCTGGCCAGAAGCATCCGTGCCACTACAGAGAGGCCACAGGTTCAATCCTGGAATCCTGCTGTTTTTGTGGTTCAAAACAATAAAATGCCAGCAATGTCATGGGATTCGACCTAACACATGTTGAATCTTGATTGATGTTAGCTATTATTGGAAAATTTGACTTTCTCTTTCTAAAAGGTTTATAAATAACTTTCCCTAAAACCATATGTTGGTTCTCCCTTTTCAGCTTCTCCTTTCTATTCGGAGCGGCTGAAGGAGGCTCATGTCAGACTGTACCCAGCCAGCCGCTGCACATCCCAACATTTATTTAACAGAACGGTCACCAGCAACATGCTGTGTGCTGGAGACACTCGGAGCGGTGGGCCCCAGGCGAACCTGCACGACGCCTGCCAGGTAACCAGGAGTGGCGTGCCCACGCCGGGCACAGCCTGGGGGAAATCCCCCCGGGACAACAGGTCTTCCCCAAGGAAAAACGTTATCACCAGAGTGGAGTGACTTCCTCCTAGCAATACCCCTGGGGATTCTAGACGAGGCCCTCAGAGAATAAAGCAACTGGAGAAAGATCAAAGTCACCTAAACCTGAGAACTCGAAACTGCAGGAAATTTCCCCAGGGTCTGCACAGGAAACTCCACCGGTGCGGGGTTTCCTTTCAGCCCAGGCAACTGATTGACTGCTGAAGGGATGGAGGGAGCCACACAGTTAAGAAATGTTTACCTCTGTTGGTGCCAGAGAATTGGAGTCTGCTTTGTAGAGGAGAAGGCAGAAAGGCCACTTACTGGGAAGCAGGATCTAGATGTTGTGAGAAAGAAGCTTTCAAACCTCATATTCAGCCCTAATACCCCAGGAAAGCACACTATTTGAGGTCCTTTGTGTGGGCAGCCTTATCAGAATTAGTACTTATATTTCATGATTAAGCAGATACTGGGGTGCCAGAGGACAGGCCAGCCTGCTGGTATTAAGACCTACACATAGCCAAGGATTGTTCTTCCTCAGACATTTCAGTGCCTGCGGCGTGCCAGACTCTCCTTTAGGGGATGGGGGTAGAAGAGATACAAAGAGAAGTAAGGCCAGGCTCTGGCTCTGAAGGAGGGGCGGGCTTTGTTCTTGCAAGCCAGTCAGATCAGCGGTTTCGCCTCTGATTCCCTGACAGTATTTGGTTTCTTTTTGAATGGTTTCTTCAGAAACCTCAGCTATACCACCTAGCTCACAGTCCAAAAACAAAAAGGTTGTACCAAAGTGAAACCATTATCTAGCTGCATGCTTAGTTAAAAACAAAAACAAAAAATCGATTCCAATATAAGAACAGCTAACAATTACCAAGAGTTTAATGTCTTCCATTGTCTCCATGCTTTCTATGCATTCTTCTACTGAATGCCATAACCATAACCACCCTATGGTTAGTATTAATATTATCTCTATGGTACAGATAAGAAAACCAAAGCATGGATAGTCTAAGGCCACTCAGCTAGTAAGTGGTGGAGCCAAGCCAGAATTTTTGAGGCCTGAAACATTTGAACAATTTACTTTACCGGAATAGATACAGCCTAATCCTCCACTTAACAGCATGCCTGGAAAAAATCGGTTCTTAGAAACTGCACCTGTAAGTGAAATGATGTATGACGAAACCAATTTTACCATCAGCTAATTGATATAGACAAGAGTTTACCAGGCGAGGTGGCTCCTGTCTGTAATCCCAGCACTTGGAGAGGCTGAGGCAGTGGATCACCTGAGGTCAGGAGTTCGATACCAGCCCGGCCAACATGGTGAAACCCTGTGTCTAATAAAAACACAAAAATTAGCCAGGTGTGGTGGTGCATGCAGGTAAGCACGAGAAATGTTTGAACCTTGGAGGCAGAGGTTGCAAGCCGAGATCGCGCCACTGCACTCTAGCCTGGGTGGGTGGCAGAGTGAGGCTCCATCTCAAAAAAAAAAAAAAAAAAAAGTGAAGTTCCTGTGGCAATATTTCTAGTCATAAAAACATCAGCAAACTTTTAAAGACCCAAAACACTTCTAATATTCAATGTTGAAAGAAATGTGAGCTATACATATATTTAAGAAAGATTAATAAAGACAAACATCATATTTACACAATTTTTGGAGAATAAGTGAGTGATGGTAGTCATAATAAGTGGTGGGTTAATTCAGGGAATAAACGTTTGCAAAGCAAAAATGGTAAGAAACACCTCTCACTACCATGAAGTTCAAAAACAATCACAGGCTGAGTGTGGTGGCTCATGCCTGTAATCCCAGCACTTCAGGAGGCCTAGGTAGGTGAATCATAAGATCAAAAGATCGAGACCATCCTGGCCAACATGATGAAACCCTGTCTCTACCAAAAATAGAAAAATTAGCTGGGCATGGTGGCATGTGCCTGCAGTCCCAGCTACTCAGGAGGCTGAGGCAGGAGAATCACTTCAACTTGGGAGGTAGAGATTGCAGTGAGCTGAGATTGCACCACTGTACTCCAATCTGGTGACAGAGCAAGACTGTCTCAAAAAAAAAAAAAAAAAAAAAAAAAAAAAAAACCACAAATAGGGCAGGCTTCCTGACTGCCTCCTCACCACATGGTTTATCGCCATTCATTTGTGTAGTTATCATAGACTAGACAGATTTTTACTTCACAACACTTTGTATTCATTCATTCATTGTCCAACCCACTTACTGCAGTTTGGGGTCTCTGGTAGGGGTGGCCAGAGCCACCAGGCAGCTCAGGGTGCAAGGCGGGACCAGTCCTGGACAGACAACACCATCCTATCGGAGAGCCACTGACACTCACTCAGACTGGGCCCATGTAGACACATCCTCAGCTGGCCTAACGCGCACAGCTTTGGGATGTGGAAGGGAACTGGAGTACCTGGACAAAACCCAGGCAGACAGTGTCCCCAGACAGAAATAGGTTTTTTGGTTTTGTTTTTTTCATCAATGTTATAATGAAATGATGTTGAATAGAACATTACTGAAGGACTTGCTGTCTTTTGAAGAATACAATGTTCATGCTACACATACTGACTTTCCCCAGATTGTCTATTTTTGCAAACGCTAAACCTGCCATCTCCTTTGCAGGGCGATTCGGGAGGCCCCCTGGTGTGTTCAAAGGATGGCCGCATGACTTTGGTGGGCATCATCAGCTGGGGCCTGGGCTGTGGAAAGAAGGATGTCCCGGGTGTGTACACCAAGGTTACCAACTACCTAGACTGGATTAAAGACAACATGCGACCGTGACCGGGAACACTCGACTTCTCAAAAGCAAACGAGACCCACCTCTTCCTTTTCTTCAGAAGACACTGCAAGGGTGGAGTGCTTCTCCATACAGACTTCTCCAGACCCACCACACCGCAGAGGTGGGAGGAGAGCCTCCAGGAGAGGGAAGAGTGCATTTTCCCAGATACTTCCCATTTTGGAAGTTTTCAGGAGTTGGTCTGATTTCAGTATACTCCATCAGATGGGAAGACGTGAATGCACACTCACCTCTCCAGGAATACCTCCTCCCAGGGCAGAGAGTGGGCATGCCACCATTTTCAGCTAAGCCCAACCTCCTGACCTGTCACCATGAGCACCTTTGGAAACAGGACCACAAAGATAAAAGCATGTCTCAATAGTGAAACAAGATCTTTCAGGAAAGACGGATTACATTAGAAAGAAACTGTATATTTATAGTCACGAGAGCCCAGCAGGGCCTCAAAGTCGGGGTGGGCTGGCCAGCCAGCCATGTTCCTCAAAAGCACCCTTAACATCACGTCTCCTTCCCCTTTCCCTGCTCCCTGGCTCTGGGAAGGTATTCCTTTTGTGTACAGTGTAAAGTGTAAATCTTTTTTCTTTATAAACTTTAGAGTAGAATGAGAGAATTTTTTATTTGAGCAAGTAGGCTTCGGCATATTTATAGCAATCCACGTTAGTTTTTACTTTCTGTTGCCATAACCCTGTATTATACTGTACTTAATAAATTCAGATCTATTTTTCACAGTTTTTCCAAAATCTGAGTGGAATGGTTTTGTTAGGGATGCTGGATCCCACTGTTCATTTGTGTTCACATTCTAAAATCATTTGGAATGTCTACTTCATTCACTCAACACACAACGCAACACTTGTAACATACAAGGCAATGGGCTAGGTGCTCCAGACCGGGAAAAGGAGGGACAGGGATGCTGAGTCTGATGGGATAATATGGCATTTAGAGAAGTACCAAGGTACAGTGGAGCTGGCCACAAAAGGGCAGAAACCTGTCATGGAATTCAGTTGCAAGAGGCATTGGGGAATCTTAAGGAAAAAACGGAATGGTGCAGTGTAGGGAGGACTTTTACAACCTGGGTGAGATGTGGACTGTGGACAGTGTGGAAAAGGCACTCTCCACAGAGGTCTGAATATTTAGAGGGCCAAGAGACGGGAGTACGGGGAGACGTAAGGAGTCGAGCTCGTCCGAAGAGAACGTCAGGAAGAGGAACATAGGCTGGAATTTTGATTATGGGGGCTCTGAACACCCAGCTGAGTTTGAACTTGACTCAATGCTGTAGGCAACAGGAGCTATGGAGATTTCTGCTCAGGGAAGTGAGGAACCGAGCATGGCCTAGGAAACCTAACCACGGGGTGACTGGCGAGCGAGCAGACGGCAGGAGAGGAAAGCTGGGGGACAGGGAGGAAGAACCTCACGGTGACCTTGCTAACACAGCAACATCCCAACTGTTGGTTTGGCCTAGAAGCTGGTATTTGGACCATCTGTTTCCCATCCTGCCTTAATTTTCTGCTCATTAGAAAGAATTAACCCCTAGGGCAGTCCACACAGTACGTTATCTAAGTAATGCTGCATCCTGCTTCTCTTAGACTACTTTCTACCTGTGAGATGTAACAACTCCTATTCCTGGCTGCTGCAGGCAGCTTTTGTTCTCGCTGACACCCTAGTTCCAAGAATAAATTGGATGCTGCAATGCTGCTGTTCGGGATACGCTGACACAGCTCCTCAGAGAGGAGAAGGTGGTCATCTCTCTGGTGGGGTTGTCAGAGCTGCTCAGTTTAGAGGGTCCTGGAAGAAAAGTCATTTAAATTCACAAAAGAAAGATTTTTTTTTTTTTTTTTTGGGCAGAGTCTTGCTCTCTCACCAGGCTGGAGTGCAGTGGAACAATCTCAGCTCACTGCAACCTCCACCTCTCGGGTTCAAGTGATTCTCCTGCCTCAGCCTCCCAAATAGCTGAGACTACAGGCGCGTGCCACCATGCCCAGCTAATTTTTGTATTTTTAGTAGAGACAGGGTTTCATCATGTTGGCAAGGATGGTCTCGATCTCTTGACCTCGTCATCCGCCCATCTCAGCCTCCCAAATTGCTGGGATTACATGTGTGAGCCACTGTGCCTGGCCAAGAAAGAGATTCCTTAATGCCCAAGAGCTTGATTGGGGTGGGGGAGGCAGTGGGGGACATCTCTGAAGTGCTGAAGTCCCCCCGCCAGTAAATAAATGCAGGTCACAGAGACTTAAGTCACACACTGCTTGCTTACACATTCAACAATCTTTAGACAGATGTGTATCTCAGCCATTTCGGAAAAACATCATTTGAGGCCAGACACGGTGGCTCACGCCTGTAATCCCGATGCTTTGAGGAAGCTGAGGTGGGTGGACCACTTGAGGCCAGGAGTTTAAGACCAGCCTGAGACAGAGTGAAACCCCATCTCTACTAAAAATATAAAAGTTAGCAGAGTGCGGTGGTGCAGGCCTGTGGTCTCAGCTACTCGGGACACTGAGGCAGGAGAATTGCTTGAGCCTGGGAGGCAGAGGTGGTAGTGAGCTGAGATTTAGTCACTGCACTCCACCCTGGGCAAGAGAGCAAGACTCTGTCTCAAAAAAAGAAAAGAAAAGAAAAACACTGATGGCCAGTAAGACGGAACACCCAGCCACTGAATTTCTGGCAGAAATTCTGGTTTCATCCCCCTGCTTTGCAGAATAAGCTCTTCTTCATGGTCAGTGAAATGAACTGAGGCAGTGAGGGCCCTGGGAATAAAAATGTGAGGTTAAAAGGCCCCAGCATTCCTCCCACACAGTCTTGAAACCACAGACTAGATGGAGACAATTGCTCAGAAGAGGCTCCTGACTGAGGGTCAGGGCAGAGTCCCAGCCCAGTGAGGCAGATTCTAAAACACGCTCAAAGAACAACATATTATTGCCCGGAATGGGTGTCAAGGAAATTAAATATCATCTCATTATTCCCAGCTGGTTAATAAAACAGATCGATGGTAACAGTCCAGGAGAACAAGAAAGACCTCCTGTGCAACTCTTCTTACTGGGTGACGAGCTAGAGGAACCCGGATGGCGACACTGTGCCCTCCCAGAGCCCCAGTCCCGTCTGTTTGTCAAAAAGCGTATGAACTTTTGGTTCCACCTAACTTCAAAAGCCAAAGACTCACACAATCCTCAGTACTTAGGATCTTGGAAGGCGTTTAAGAGTTTGAAATTAAATTTCCTTTTATTTATTTTATTTTGAGATGGAGTCTTACTCCTTTTGCCCAGACTGGAGTGCAATGGCGTGATCTTGGCTCACTGAAACTGCCCGACTCCCAGGTTCAAGCAATTCTCCTGCCCCAGCCTCCCGAGTTGCTGGGATTACAGGTGCCCACCACACCTGGCTAATTTTTATATTTTTCAGTAGAGATGAGTTTCACCACGTTGGCCAGGCTGGTCAAATTTCCTTTTAAAAATTCTAACAGTGGGCCAGGCTCGGTGGCTGACACCTGTAATGCCAGCACTTTGGGAGGCCGAGGTGGGAGGATCATGAGGTCAGGAGTTCGAGATCAGCCTGGCTAATATAGTGAAATCCCGTCTCTACTAAAAATAAATAATAATAAATTAGCTGGGCATGGTGGCAGATGCCTGTCATGCTAGCTACTCAGAAGGCTGAGGCAGGAGAGTCACTTGAACCTGGGAGGCGGAGGTTGTAGTGAGCAGAGATCGGGCCACTGGACACCAGCTCAGGCAACAATGCAAGACTCGTCTCAAAAAAAAATTCTAACAATTAAAACAATGAGTATTGATGACACGGAGTCCCCACCTACTGGCCAGAGATAAAAGTACATGTACACAACCAACTTCCCGTCCCACCACCAGGGTCAGAGCACAGGGGAACAGAACAAGGGAGCACGGGCAAAGAAGCAGTCTCTGATGGGGTGGGGCAACAGCAGGCACTGAACTCTCAAAGGAGTATGCATGAGTTTTAAGGTCTTTTCACGGTCATGAGACGTTTACAGAAAATCATTACAGGTGTGGCTAACAATTGGCTCCCAGCGCCTTATCTTGTAAGAAGCCTCTCCTGGAATAAAGACATCGAGCGCCGCCAACACCCCGCTTCATGCCTAAATTAACGGCAAGGGAAGCACGTTAAGAGAATGGGGAAAGCGCTAAGCCTCTGCAGCTTCAGCGGTTTTGTCTTTTACACTCTGGTGAAAAATAACTAGATGGATCGGGACCTCCCTTCTCAGAACCCTAAAAATGACATTAGTAGCAGCATCCGCTATCTTCCAGATGCAACCAGAGAATCTGGAATCGAAACACATGCTGCAGGTCTGCTGGCTGGACAGAAGCAGCAGGATCCTCCTGAGTTGCTGAGCTCCTTACTTACTGCTTCTCCTAAGGTGTGAGTGGCATAGCATTATTGTTAAGTCCTGGTAACAAATCACTGAGGACATAGAGGACTGGTGAAACTCAACTTTATTAAACTCAAACACTGGAGCCACTTCTGCACGTTAAACACACATGGAACCAAACAGCTCGATGGAGACACCCTGCGCTTCTGCTGACACCGCAGGGATGGTGGCGGCAATGCCCGCCTCACTCCACGGCCTGCTGCACACGTGACAGGACAGTCGTTTCATCTGTGCTTACACCTGCAGGCCCCTTACTCTAGAAACACTCTATTTCTTCTTAGGTACTTCCCTTGAAACAGGCTGAGTTCTAGAGGAAATAAAACAGCTGCACTTACAAACCTAAAAATATTCAGGGACTAAGATTAGTTGTTCTGTGACCCAGGATACCTTAGAATCCTGGAGGTCCCTCAGGAAAAGTGCTTCCAAGGACTTGGGAATCCACAGGCAGAGATGCTTCCCTTTCCATGGTTGGTGTGTATGTCACTCCGGGACAAACTGCGGAGTGATGTGTGTACAGCACAGTTTATCCCAGAGGAAAATCCCAAAGCAACACAACTCTGCAGCAAAACTAGTCCCAAAATCAGAAGATAAAACTAGCAAAAACTTTGCACAAGTATTTAGAGAAAAATTCTAGGGTGTAGAGAGTTAGGGTCTTCCTTTTTCTCCACACACGAAGCAGAGCACAGTATCATTCCTTAAGCTGTAATTAAACAAAAAGCCTTTTGTATAAATATTTAAATAGTAATAGACACACTGATCTAGGACAAAAATGACCCACTGGGAAAGAAAGCCTGAGGTATCCCTTTAGTTGCCATGTTTCTTAAACTGGGTTGCTTCCATCTATGATCAACACAGACCTCCTTCCTACAGCACAGATTTTATTCAGAGATTTAGAGGAAATGTTTTGTCTTAGAATGAAAAGGGACTGGTAGATATTAATGAATACATGATCAAGTACAAAACAAGATTGTGAGGAAATAACTTTACCAGGCAGCTTCAAGGCTCAACCACGCCCTTGACGGTAAACTTTCTCTTTTCCCAGGGAGACAGATGGAAAAGTTTCCAATGGGAAGGTTAGGGTCCGGTACCAGTCCAGTACTGGCAAGTGACCATATGAGCTCACTCACAGCCGTGCCCACCTTCATGGGAAATGAGTCGGCCCCCTCTACTCCACTATGAGGACACACAAACCCTGGCTGCACTGGGATTACGGGATTGGCTTCTCTGAAACTCTCCTACTTTTCAAAAATCTTGTGGAAGGATCAGGTAACAGGAAAATGGCTGAACTCTGCAAAAGGAAGTGAGTAGAACTGTTCTGGGTGAGAAAAGAGGCATTTAGGCAGCCATCATGGG